CCCAGACAGAACAGAATGTCACCTCTTTATTTGGAATAAAAAAAAAATAGCAAAGTCCTGGCTTACATAACACCTGTTGAGAGTAGGTGGAGGGATTGAGTCAGTAGCTTTGTTTGGCCTTTGTCAGAAAGATTGTACATGAGCAAAACCAGTCAAAAGTCTGATAAAGAGACAAAAGTTGAGGAAAAACTGAAAGCTTCCAAATGGTGGAACGCTGATAGGGATCTGAGAACAGATAATCAAATAAATCGTTGATAATTATTTTCAAAGAACAGTTGAAAGCTAGGCAAGGGTAAAAGCTAAAAATACAGGGAGAGAGCTAAAGAAATACAAAATGTATATGAAACACACTTACATGAACATTTAACATTATATGTTATAAAATGTGTAACATGTAATATTGTGATTGTGTACATTACACGCACATTTAATGCAAAGAGTATAGGCATGTGCATTTACGGCACACACACACACTCGAAACCATGAAGATATTCACCAAGTTGAGAAGATAAAGTGTGGTATTGGCCATGAGAAACATAAGCAAGAGAAAATGTCAGATTGTGGTAGAGGAGTAAACAGAATACTATCTGAGCCCTCTACAGAAAGGCTATGGACTTGAAATTAATGGTTAAAGTAACAGAGTATATGAAGAGACCCCCTAAAGATGAATCAACTTTACTCCAACATCAGTATGGTGTTATGATACATCATTCCCTTCTAAACCAAAATAGTGATAGTTCTACCAAATGACTGAAATTTCATGCCTTACAATAATTTTCTTGCGTTTCAGAAAACACAAAATAACATAAAACTTATGTGATGGTAGGAAAATACAAAAAATATGTTGGTCATTAATGTAGTTACTGATCATTTCTTTGTTGTCTCCAGGCCTGGAACTCAGAGTGACTCCAGTGGATTACAGATTCACTTCTGCTTTATCATTTCCAGATGGTGCTACAATTCTTGGTTTGAGATGTCTATGTTAGTGTTCCTAAATTACATGCAGAGTTGGACTTGGTTATGTACTTGGCCTAATTTAATGCTGTTCTTCATTGATAGTCCATATTTACTGCAAGTTTTTTTTTTTTTTTTTGATAGCTAAAGAACTTCCCAAATTCTGAACTCTTGACTTCAAGTTTAGGGACAATAGAATTAAATGCTCCCTCTTTTAATTCATCATTTACATTGCTTTCAGTATACATTAAGCAAAAGAAGAATTTTGCTCAAAAATGGTTTTTCAAAGCCTTAAAAGTTGTTAGTTAGTATTCAGTGAACTGACATCTGACTCAGTCTCACCTACGCTCATGTTTTTCCCCATAAAAACCTCAAACTGTTGAGGAAATAGCAAATCTTTCAGATGATATGATACACATTACACTCTTGGCTTGCTAGTGTAAGACAGGAAAAAATGTCATCTATTAGTCCTGTGCATGGGAAAGCTTTTACTGACAGAAATTATGAGCCAGTGTTTCAGCATCAATCATTAGGTGTTTACTTAACTTGTATACAAGGTTTAAAAATGGAGAGTGAAAAGTCATCTGTAACATACTCCAAAACTTAGTCATTTCTCTAACCTCATGTTTTCTATTTTGAGCAAGTTTATATTGGTGAAAAAATGAAGACTCATATATGTACACATAGTCACTCTTTGTTGAGCTAAGAAAAAAAATCCCATTTCCACCTATTTCTACAGAGTCTTTTCTAGGTAAAATGGTTTTTAACATAACAATAAGATGCATTCAAAAAAATTGGTCATTCTGTTGAAGTAATTTGCTTTTCTATTTGCAAAAAAAAGTCTTTCCATGAGTTTAGATATTATAGTGAAGCAGTGTCAACTTTTCGTGTTATTTCTTAGGCAACAAACAAACTTGTTTTTTAATAAGGTCTGGATACTTTCCAGCTCACAGCATATATGTTTTGGGGGTTAGAGAGAACCATAATAAAATGTTGATTCTGTTAGCTCAAGAGAACAAAGCTGGAGCAGATTCCCCTTGGCTGAGAATAAGAACTGGAATCTCTCTGACACTTTCACTGGTGAAACATTTAGATCTTGAGCATTTGTGAACATAGAGCCAGCAAAGTTATGATAATTTTTAAAAGTGGCAAAGAATTTAGGAATTGACTATCATTTCCAGATGATATAGAAATAGCTAAATTACTACTCTGTTTTATTTTATACATACATTACATATATTATTATATACTACATTTATCTGTACACATTATGTGCATTTAAATGTCCATAAATATATATGTGTGTGTGTGTGTGTGTGTGTGTATTTATGTGACCAATATCTTTGATTATATAAAACCCTGTACATTTAGGATGAAGATTTAGGATAGTGATTTGTGTTTTATCTTAAGTTTCAACCTGAGTTGCTTGTCAAATCCAGGGAAATGGGGTATAGTTCACACTGGGAGTAACTTTTCCATGGTTGTTATTTGGATTTCTTCCCTGTAGTTCTGCTAAATTCCTACCAGTGATGACCAGCAAGAAGCAATGAATGGACTAACTCCTACTCTAACAAGACAATGCCCTCAAAAGTTGCCAAGTAAGGAGTCAAGGTTTTGCTCTCTTGAGCCTGCATGGTATTAGTTTTTAATTCAATTTTCTGGTTCTTGTGTTTTTGCTTCAAATCTAATATACCTTCTAGGAATACAGCAGAATTACTCTATCCTGTAACAAACAAGGGCTTCATGGTCTACAATAATAGCTTCAAAACCCAATAATATTGTATAATCCAATAAGTGGATCAAGATTGACTGATAATCATTTTCCTTCAGCATTTTTCATATTCATTTTAAAATGAGGCCATTTTATGAATCACTAACTGAGCCAAAATTATAAAAATCAGTCATGCATTAAAATCATGATTTAAATAATATTATCTACAATTGTTATCCTATACAATGTGGTATGCAATGGATATTTATTGTATACTGACTTGAATTTTATCTTATATTTTTATTGGTCATCCTTAAAGTCAAAGATCACTCATTCTTGCTAGATTCCAAAACAACATAAAGAGTGATATCAGGGGGATATTTCAATGCTGCTAAACTAGAATTGAACAGAAAACAAACTACAAATATCACAAAATACACTGTAGCATGATACAGGAGAATTGCAAATTTAAGCTAAGAGAACCTTAAGCAGAGTGCAATTCCCTGTGGGGAAGATAAAGGGTAAGTTCTTGAAGAAGACAGCTTTTGCTCAGCCCTTGAAATTGGAGAAGGATTTACAAAAGAGGAAATAAAGAGCAGGACATTCCCAGCTAGAGAAGCAATAGGGTACAGGGCTAGAGTCATGGAGATGAGAGGATATGGGATAAGACTAGAGAAAGGCAAGAGGTCCTCTTTGAAGGGATCACTTTTATAGACAAAGACAGATAAGACAGGAATTGTAGTAGATAAGAAAATTATTTAGTGGGCAACTGAGAGCTTCTAAGCGTTTTTCTTCTTTATAACTTGCGAGAATTTATGCATTCAGATTAGTTTCCTTCTTGTTCTCTCTCCATATGCTGCTAGAGTATACATAGCAGGTTGATTGCTGTTGGTCCACATTATAATTCGGTCTAAATGGCACAGAGTTTTTAAACTTGATTATAATTAAATGAGAAGGCAAATGACTCCAAGAAGGGTAATGCTCTTAACAGCCAGAGATATGAAACAAGAATGCGGAGTCTCTACTCAAGAAGAAGAAGGAGCTATTACATTTTAGCAGCGATATTTTTTTTTAAGAAAACAGAACTTATAGTCTCCAATTCCTCTTGAGTTTCTTATGAATTTCAGTCCTTATTTTATTAGCACCTTGCTACTTGCTATAATTTTATATTTACCGAATAAAGACAGAAGACAGAAAGTATGTCCTGAGATATTATTTCTTTTATTTAGAATCTATATTCACGCTCTGAATAATTGTTTTCTTTCCATTCAACAAAAACAACCTTGTTGGGGAAAATTGCTCATAATGAAAGCTAGAATATTTGCTCAGCTTTTGAAAATATAGCAGCATCTCTTGATATTCACTGTGTTTATCTAAAGGTGTGTGTGGGGAGTGGGGATTAGATAATATCCATATTTCCGTAAGGATATTAATCAGTGAAACATGATAGGTCACTTGAAATCATTCTTAGGTTTTTATAAAATTATATTATATTTGCCTTAAATAGTTAATGCAAAATTGTTTATGAAAGCAATATTTCTAAATGAGGACAATAATCATTTCATGAATGACAAAAATCAGGTCACATGGGTCATAAATTGGTAAAATGAAGACTGGAACCTAGTGCTTGATTATAAAGTAAGCCTCAATGTTCCCATTTATAGCTCTTTATTATTTTTGAAGTACTATGGTTTGAATTCAGAGCCTTGCACTAGTTAGATAAGGGATTCTACCACTTGAGCCATACCCAGCCCTTCATTCTTTGCTCTTATATATACATATATAATATTTATATATTATATGTTTATATTATATATAATATTTGTATATTATATTTTTATATATTATAAATATAAAACTCAGAGAAGACTAATGGAGCAAGGACGGGGAAGAGTTGAGAAGGGAAATGGCCAAGAGTGCACATTTATGGTTAGGTAAATGGAGAGTTATTTTCCCTGAGACAAATGGCAAGAAAAGTTTAACATTGGTAGAGAAGACAGTCTGGCAGATAGCAGAGAACCAGAACATCCCTTACCTTGGGCAGTTACTGTGAATCTAGGGAATAGGAAAGTAGACAATAAAGCTACATTAATGGAAACCCATTTCCTCAGGGCTTTCTAAAATAATTTTACTGCAAAGTTATATTTTTGCCTAGAGGCCATGAAAATTTCATGGCCAAGTTTATGGGCAGAGACACTTTACCTCTTACTATGTATATATTTCTTCAGTGTATGAGTAGACATGGAAATAAATATAGTTCCTCTGAATTTCCCAATTATTTTATATTTAGGTATAAAAACAGTATTTATTCCCATTTTCAGAAGGAGTCACTTACCTCCAGACACACACTCAGGGGTGAAAGTGATGTCATCAAGGGCAATGAAGGTGTCATTTCCACCCAAATCAGCTTCAAATGCCACCTTAAATGGACTGTAACTAGAGAGTGGTACATGCCCATAGGTCCATCCAGTTCTTTTATTTCTCATCACTGACCACATTAAGATGTTTAGACCTGACTCCTCAATGGTATATACCTAAAAAGAAAATAGTGATCAGAAAAAAAACAATTCTTTGTGTTTTGTATGTTAAAGGTATTTGAATGTCTAGATGATTGGCTACTGAAAAAGTCCAGTCTCAAACTATGTGACGCTCAGTACATTGACTATAATATTTGCTTTCTGTAGGAACTATGGGTTATGTTGAAACAATAGCTCTCAGTTCTTCACAGAATGCATTCTTAGCAAGCATATGGTTCAACCCTGAGTTCAACCCCAGTACTGTTAAAGAAAACAAAAACAAAACAAAACAACAAAAACAAACCGATGGGTTATAAAGTGAGCTAATGGATCAGCAGATGTTATATTTTCACTAGTTTTGTCATAACAATTTCTATTTCCCAAGTGGTTATGTTCAAAATTGTAGCAATCTTAAGCAATTAAAAAGTTAGTGCTATATAATTAGAATTTTATACCACTCATGAACTTTATGTTAGACTAAGGTAGTATGACTAGGAAAAAAAGAGGGACTTGTCAATAAATGGATATGATATTGATATTTCACTTAAGAAATAGGCTAAGATGCAATATGAAAAAAAATTAGGTCAGTTGACTATTTCAGGTTTCAAACATATGCACCCATCCAAAAGAGTCTTTAGTTCCATAGTTTGGTGTATAATTAGTTTTCAAATTCATAAAAAATTTTCTATTTCTTAAAAGTTGAGAAGAAAAGGATGGGAAGTTTTCAATTCAACTTACTGATAGCAGAGCCACTGTTCTGAATCTAACTAAAATGAGCTCTGCTTTCTGCATAAATCCTAGTCACATCATAATGATTTGAAAAGGAATGACATTACTATATTGATTTTGCAATGAATTTTCAGGAAAAAAAAACTGTTTAGAAAACAAAGTTGCCTTAAAATATAATCTTGATTTTTCCCACAAATCTTTGTATATATATTTTTATTTATTATTCTATAGTTATCATTTATACAAGGTTACTTTTCTCTATGAATTCAGTCTTTTTAATCTTCTACCAATCCTATATACTAGTGCCAAATTCATTTCTTTTTCTCACTTTACTTCTCCAAAGTAAACCGTTATCCCTCCCACCAGAGCATTAAAATCTCCAATAAATGTCAACATATCAAATCCCATTATCTGACCCTACCACTTCTTGAAATTAATTCTAGTCAACTTCATGGACCCACTACTTAATATGATGAAAGAGTTCAAAAGATTTATGGGTTTTTCCACAATAACACACACACACACACACTCTACCAATGTGTTAAACTGAACAGTAATACAATTATGTCAGGTATTTCTGTAGCCACACTGGCAAATGGAAAAACTAGCAGGGTTATTTCAGAAATTCCGTATAGTGCTGTTTAGTTATTATGGCTAATAGGAAATGTACAAAAGACTAAAATTACAGAATATATTTGTGTATTCTAATAGGAGTAATACTTACTTTATTCTGAGGAGGTTTTCATGATAGCTCTCAGAAAAAGATTTACTTTTAATACATTTAAAAATGTACTACTTAGAAAAGCAAAATGACTAGCATTATTGAAAAAACAATTGATTCCAATTTAACTTGCTTCTCATTCTATATTTCATCAAACAAATTATGCTGAGAAAAAATTCATGTCACAGTAATAATTTATTATTAGAACTAGATTTATAAAAAATAAACTGCTGGAAGAATTTACTTGGATATTTTAAATTTCGTCTTAACATTGACGCAGTAATATATCAATAGTTAACAATATGCATGGCAAAGTAGTAATTTTTATCATGATTACCAGAAAAATACAGACTCAAAGAATATACATTAAATAAATTATGATAAACTTTATGCTCTAATACAGATTATATTATTTTCAAAGGTAATATTACAATAAAAGCCATTATGTAAAATATGGGGCAGGGAAAAAACTTGTTAAATCAAATCAGAACAAAGTAATGATGTCATCTAAATATAAATATTTTATTATTCAATGAAAGTTTTTGACAAAGCAGCTTCTCCTCATTCATTTATAAAGAACATTACTTTGAAGAAAACCACTCAACAGTAGATATGAAAAGGTAATAGAAAATGTGAGTGTTAATGGTTAAATTCCAGAATACCAGGGATATTAGAGAACAGCTATTTCAGCAAGGTCTATGCATCTGGGTTGCCTAGGTGAAGGTTTGAAAAAAACTTATTAGTAGCTTTCCTTCAGTTCCTCTCCTGCAGATATGCAGAAACTCCAGGGTCTTGGATATTATTGACAGTAGGTCAGTGCAGTGACTTGGAATCTCTGAGTGGACACCTCTGAATATCAAAAACACTTCATCCATTTCATCAGGTATTTAGCTCATTAAAGCTAGTGTATGAAATGCATCACTGAGATGAAAATGTGACTTTTCTTAGCTCCCAGTTGCTCTGAGCTGTTCTGCTAGGGTTCTGGTCTTTAATCACCACTGACAGAGTGAAGTAATGAACTGAGGTACTGAATCATCCTTAGAAGTGCATAGTTTCCCATGGTTTAAAATGAAAACACTCAATTTTATATAAAAGAAAGAAAACACCAAAAGTAAAATAAAGGGAATTTTTACCCAAAATAAGAGGTTATTGGGATTAAATTACATTAATAAAGTATAGAAATGGAAATAACAATAATATTCCCTATTTTAATGGTCATTTACCCATTTGCATATTTTATGTTATAATTGAACCTTGATTAATACGTGGGTATAGGATAGGACTATTTGCTGCCTTCTACAGCTTTGAAATTAGAGAAATAAAGAGAGATCAAATAATTCATTAAATATATGCAGCATAAACTTTCAGTCTTTTGTCCAGTATATAAGGAACATGGAAATCATCACTCTAGTCCTCACAACAAGAAAAAGAATGAACAAATTGAAAATCAACAATTCTTCTTAGATCCTTCAGTGAATTGTAGATGCAGAAAAAAAAAAAAAACAATGTTTCTAGAAGCAGAGACACAGAAAGGAAGAAGTATTGAATCACAATTTACTGGAACAGAAGCCCATGGACAAATAATCCTACAGGCACTATTACATGGGTAGAAAAAAATCTAAGCTGAAATTGATGAATCAATGAAGGCTGAAGGTAGTTAAATACTCTTGGTATGTGCATGAGAGGTGAATTCTTAGGTAGACCAACATACTTTGGTGAGGCTTTGCTCCAAGAACCCTACCATGTTCTCACAATGAATATCAGTCTTCTCATGTTTCTGTCAGGAAAAGGGGGAAATAGCATTTAAAAATATTCCAGAGCATTCTGTTCTTAACAAGACCTACTCTCAAACTGAATAAAGTCAGGTCATCTGATTAGATGTTTTTGTCTGTTGTAGCCCATGAAATTGGGGGAATAAATAGCAACTATAGGTGTCTCCAGTCTTCCATGTGGGAAAAGAGAAATGTCTAACTTTAGTACTCACTAGCCTGGAGGTGAAAGCACCTCCAGCCTTTTTATCTTGCCTAAGCATTGCAAATAACACAACCCAGAGTTTCATTCTCACTAAAAGAGTGAGACTTTATCATAACTGTGTAGAATGTTCTCTCTCACCCCACAGATACCCAGATACAAATAGGGCTTCTGTAATAATAATGGAGGATATCTAAAGAAGCATCATGATGCAGACTTTATTTAAGAAGAAATTTCTCTGGAAACCCAAAGACACCAGGTACCTGTAGTTATAGCAAACAGTAAGCACAGATTAACCTATACCCGGGAAAACATAAAAACTTTCACTAAAGGCGCACTTATCTCAATTATCTCTACCTTGTATGTCATGACAGGCTGTCAACCAAATAATTTCAGGCATACTAAAAAGGCAAAAGAGCAATTGGAGAGAGCAGAGGAAGCTCCAAACCAGACTAAGATATGGTAGAAATGTTGGAATTTACCAGATAGGGAATTTGATATGATCCATATGCTAAGGGCTTTAATAGAACAAGTGAACAACATGCCAGAACAGATGTATAATGTCAGCTGAGACACAGAAACTCAGAGAAAGAACAAAAAGGAAAAGTAAAAGCTTTTTAAAAAACTCACTATATCAGAAATGAAATATGCTTTTGATGGGCTCAACAATAGACTGGACATAGCAGAAGAAAGAATCACTGAGTTTGAAGAAATGTCAATAAAAATTTCAAAGGTTGAAAAGGTAAGCCAAAAAAAGGGTGGAAACAATGGAACAGACCATCCAAGAATTGTGTGATGATCACAAAAGATGTAATCTATGCATAATGGGGATAAAAGGTAATAAGACAGAAGGAAGAGAAGAAAATTTTATAGCTATCAGAAATGTGAGAACAACGATTCAGTTTCTCACCTACTGAGTAGAATCTGTCAGAGAAGCCCCAGAACTCTGAAAAAGGAAACCTGGAGGTGGGGGAAGACATATTTTTTTGGATGAGCAGCATAGGAAAATTTTCTGCAACAGGCTTGGTCTCCCAGCTTATTAAAGTAAGGCACGTGTGACTCAGAAGTCTTGTGATGAGAGATTCCAAGAGGGTGGCTAGAGGAAGGAAGCAAAAAGCATGCCTCCTATAGTGAAATCTTGGAGAGACGCTGGAGACCCACCTTGCAGGCAAAGCCACCGAGAAGAGGCAAAACTTTGACCCCTCCACACCTCCAGCCTGTGCAGAGAATCTCCACTTCACGTTGAACAGAGAAACCAGGAGGGCACCAGGGCCACTGCCAGTCGCCCGTGCCCAGACAGCTTGGGAAGATGCAGACAAGGTGAGCTAAGTCATACACAGTACTCCCACAGAAAACCCTGGGCCAGATCAGCATAGCCCCCTGGACAGACTGACCACCACCCAGGGAAAAAAGAGAAACTGAATAATAAGCAATAAGAACAATAAAGACATGTGGGAAAGAGGGTGGGGCGCCCTGAGCTCTGAAGAGCGGGGTAGGGGAATCCTTCCCAGAACTGTAAAAAAACAAGCCAGGTCTGGATGGAGAGGCTCCGGTGGGAGCGGTGGTGCGTGCCCAACAACCAGGAGCGGGAAAGCTT